AAAATATATCGTAAACTCAAAGTTAGTCATAAATTTAAGCCAAAATGTATTCTGCTACATGTTTTTGGTAAAAAAAATCCCAATAAGTGTATATTGATTGCTTTGTGCGAAAGTTATAGTGTCTACAAACTATGGTATAGATACTGTAATTTATGCCATTTTTTGCTATACAGCCATTTTGGCCACTAAATTTATAGGTACCTAGTGTGACTCACGGGAAAAAGAGCACCTGGCTGTCAGGGACTGCTTGAACCGCTACAAAAAAATTTACCGACAAGTGCTAACAGATATCAGGCCTCATTCTGTGAACACTGCGGTTTTGTGTGTAATGTATCAAGTGACAGTTATCTACTGACACTGCACTTGCTGGGGGAGAAGGGGGGGGGGGGCGTAGGGGCTAAACGCAGGTGCTGGCAGATGTCGGGGCTGATCCCGCTAACGCTGCATTTTTGGGGATACTATAGTAATGTGAACGCTGGTATAGCGCTGATCTGATCAAAGATATTGATCCAATCAGACACTATACCAGCAATGGAGGTTTAGCGTGCAAATGAGCGTGTTCCTGGCAATCAAGGGGTCAAATGTGATTACTTGTGTACTAGTGGCAATCTGACGCTATCTGGGAGGGGCGCTAACTGACGCTAACACTATCGGAAGTCACCAGTGACACTAATACAATGATCAGTAAAAAATCTGTTCACTGTAATCAATGACACTGGTGACAGGGCAGTGAAGGGGTTGACTTGGGGGGGTGATCAAGTGGTTAAATGGGATTACTGGTGTACTAGCGGGCAAACTGGCGCTATCTGGGCGGGGTGCTAACTGACGCTAACACTCTTGGAAGTCGCCAGCGACACTGATACAGTGATCAGTAAAAATCTGTTCACTGTGATCAATGACACTGGTGACAGGGCCATGAAAGGAGTTAACTGGGGGGGGGCAAGCAGGAGGTTAAATGTGACCTAGGTGTGTTCTAACTGTAAATGTGTATTGTTTTACTCACTTTTACTGTGTCTTCTTCTCTCTCTGGGACGGATGTGCCCAGGCAGAGAAGAATGACATCATATCCTGTCCTGTGTAACTGTCAACACAGGACAGGATAGGACAGGGACCGATCACCCGATTTCAGCCGGACATCACTGGCTGAAACCGAATGATTGATCCCTCGGGGATCAAATGGTGACAGCCACAGGTCGGCGGGGGAGCACGCGTTCCCCCCCCCCCCCCACCCGCGAAAACCTCGGGAGCACGGAGCATGTTTAAAACACGTGCTTTTGTGCAGCCGAGCCTCCCTGCCACCGTTTTAATGCAGTGGCTGGGCGGCAAGAGGTTAATATGACATTGTTACAGTCTTCAAGGTCAGACACTTTAGCTTTCAGCCATCCTATGTCATCTTCCCGGTCATTATGAGTGTCAACTAAATCGTTGAAAGTGGTGGCGAATTCCCCCATTTTATGCACTATATGTGTAACTCTCTCACCCATCTCAGATACCTCTTAAGTTGCTGCACCATAGTCATCATATCTGCATGTATATTGTTTCTGAGTAAAACCAGCATGTCTTTCAGAGTTGTATCAAGGACAAGGGCTGATTACAGGTGGGAAAAGCTGCAATAGAGTCCTGTAGTTCTCTGGTGTCATCTAGTGACTCACCTCCTTGGTAGAGAGACTTGTCATTATAGGCTTTTATTTAACTTTGGCTGGACTCGCTGTGGCAGAAGAGGCTTGCTTCCTGGAGCAATGTCTGTTAGTGGGTTTGCAATTGCCTTTACCCAACATGTCACCCTCATGTGATGAGTGTCTGGAGTGGGATCCCGGAGTGCCATCTGCACCATCTTGGCAGCTGTGATGGCGTGGAAGGGGAAAGAAATTTGAAATTTTCCCTGGCCGTCCCCGCTCCCTTCTTTTGCGAGACATCTTCTATATGGGAGCCAGACCCTCCTGCTGACAATTTTGCCATTGTACGGTGCCTGGAGACAGCGCTGTGTGCTCCGCTAGGCTGCTGGTGTGCAGAGCTGTAAGGTGGCCATCTTCCACGCTCACCGGCCACGCTTCTTGATCTCTCCTTATTATGAAACTTGAAATATGTGCTTTCTCTTCCCTAATACAGTAACTCTGAACTCAGAGTTTGAGAGTTCACACCTGTGATGGTGAAAGTTACCAGCAATGGCCAGGTCTTACTTAGCAATGACCTCCCTGTCCTGGAAGTTTTTAGGTCAGACTTCATGAGGTACATTTAAGGCCTACACCTATAGCAAGTGCATTATTCAATTTTAGTTAAAGCTGCACAGTTTGTTTTTATCTACAGACACCCCTTATCTGCATAGACAGTTCTTGGTAAAGATTAACTAACCATTTAATACACTTCCTACAAGCCTTTAGCCCTAGAAAATGGTTACTAAGTGAATGACCCCATGATCCTGTATAAATGTCAAGATGACATAGACAACTTTTAGTGAAAAAATAGCCAGAATGGTTGGTGAGAAAACTATTAAATGTAGTAATTGGGAGGACTTTAAGGTCATGAGAGCAATATGACTGTTTTGTGTGAACGTAAAAAAAAGTTGTGGAGAAACATTTGACCTTGTTGAGCTAAGCAGTACTAGAATCAGAAACGGCTTACATTAGTGATACCACCCTCTACAATTTTAGGACATTGTACATTGTAGCTTTGGCAAAAAATATCCAGAAGAAACTTCTTTATCAGTTACAACATGTGTTTAAGTGTGGTTACAAAATTACCCATCTTCGTGACTTTTTGGCCAAACCTGAAGTTTTGCTATACCTAGAGTGTATGATCATGTCATAAACATGTCCAGTGATCATCTTTGCATTTCCACACACACAAGCACACTATGACCCCCTAGACCTTCCATACTATCTTGAGTCATTTGGTCTACCTGCTCTTTGGTTAAAAGAAAGTTCTTAGATGCCCCAATTACCATTAAGGAAATAAAAAACATCCTGTCCACATTTTCTAAACACAAGGCTTGTGGTCTTGATGTTTTTTTTTTTTTTTTTAATATTTTATTAGAAAATAAAGTATAGCAGTATACATTTATGTTATCTAACACATATGTAAAAACCTGTACCATCTTTGCTATACCTGTATAAAACAATAAAAAAAAAAAATATATTTGCAATTATCCTTCTTCCTCCATCTATGAGAGAGGTCTGGATAATATTAATTCCACAGCTTAGTAAAGACCTATTGTTTTGTGAATCCTATAGCCCTACTTTATTGATTAACATGGATAGACATAGATAAAATATATTCTGTACAATGAAATTCTGTGATTTCTGTTTCCATTAACTCTGATCAAAATCTTGCCACCTGTGACCTGTGACTTGAAACTGTCTTCCACAACCTCACCTTAGTAGCAGAGTTTGACTGTTCCTCACCTACTTTTAAGCCTCTTATACAGCTGATTTTGTTCAGTTAATGACTGACTTTCAACCTACATATGAAATTAATGATTATTATTATCATCTGCTTGGTTTAATTGGTTCATCATACATCTGACTCTAATCCTACAAAATCCATGATTTTGTGCTAGTGGATAAAGTGTGCAAATGGAAGAATTGATGCTGGTTTAAAGCCAAAGGGTAGTGTCAGGAATGGACTTGCCAGTAATGGTGGGACCCAACTGCCTTGTGGGCTGCAGTACCAGGGCTGGCCAGCGGGTGCTCCCGGCAATCAGAGACTCAACCCTGCAGCCAGCCAAACAACTGAAGTTGATCATGCAGGTGTATTTAAGGGATGGCCAGACCTGCAGTCTCTGCCTTGGTGTGTGTTTTTCCTGGGCCCTGTATCTTGTTCCTGCATTCCTGTTCCTGTTCCTGTTCCTGTCTCTGTCTCTGTCTGATTTGTTGCTGACCCTGCCTGATCCGGACCTCTGCTGACTTCTCCTGTTTTATCCCTGGCTTGTGACCCCGACCATTCTCTGCCTGACCCCCTGTACCTACCTGCCCGATTGTTATTGACCCGGCCTGCCTGACGACGCTTGCATTATATGTACTGTTATCTGTGGGTGGTTTTGGTTTGGTTCGTTTGCACTGTGTTATGTTTTAGTATTGCACTGCGTTTATGTTTGTATTGTTAGTCTTTAATAAATTATATTGTTTATAACTTATCTGAAGCCTGCGTTTCCCTGCATCAGTCACATACCTCTGGTCACACCCCGGAGCCCTGACATTACACCAAGGCCAATCCTGACCAGAAGTGGCTGCACAGGGAAGCCATCTTGGCTTGTTGCTGGGAAGGATGGATCTTGATGAGGTTGTGTATTTATCTCTGCTAGTGTTTGATGACAGAGAGTATGCTTATCAAACTCTGAAGGAGTATCCCAGGGATGAACTGCTAGAATGTATACGGATCGCTCAGTGTTCTAGTAGATCAGGGCACAGAGTTCTCTAAGGTGCAGCCATTGATTCAGGTTTGTGCTGAGTTGGTTTCATCTGGTACCCCCGAATGCAGGGATGAATTTTTTGCCGCCTTTAGTGCCGACCAGGTAGAGTCCCTGGTATGGTTATTAGAGGATGATGTGGATTACTTTCTGGAGCGTTATTCTGCATGTTCACCACAGATAGTAAGAGATTGTATAAACGCAGTGCAGTCATTGACCAGACAGGCTTTGTGTAAACTGAGCTTTGTTCAACCCATACTGCAGACATGGTCAGACTTGTTGCACCCAGCCTCAGTCAGCTTACAACATCATTCCTCCGCTCAAGGCACTCTTCCTGCATCCCCGACAGCACCCCCAGTGACTGCCCAGTATACTCTAACTACCACATACCAGTCCTCTGCTCCCACTCGCTGCACCTATCCTTTCTTTAACCCTGTAAAGAAGTCCTCTGTAGCAACTGCTCCCTCCTCTGTTCCATCTTCCAGCTCTTCTCTGTCCTCAGCTGCTCCATTCATTTGCAGACCTGCGTTTACTTGCAGTGCCCCAGTAGTTAAAACCAGAAAAAAGTGGAAATTCTTTTCAACCAGTACCATCCTGCCAGTATCCAAACCGGTGAGCCTGCCGTCTGAGAACCTGCCTTCCGTGGTTCAGTCTGGTGCCTCGGCACCCGCACTTCAGCCGGATGTCTGTACCCAGCCTGATGTCTGTACCCAGCCTGATGAACTGATCCAGCCTGATGATCCTATCACGCCTGATGACCCAGTGCCCGCTGTTGAGCCAGACGATCCGGTACCTGATGACCCAGTGCCCGCTGTCGTGCCAATTGACTCAGAGTCCACTGTTGTGCCTGGTGACTCGGTGCCCACTGCCTTGCCAGATGACGCGGTGCCCGTTGTCGAGCCAAATGACCTGATGCCTGGTGACCCGATGCCCGCTGTCGAGCCAGACGATCCAATGTCTGACCTAGTGCCCGCGGTCATACCTGGTAACCCGATGCCCGCTGTCGAGCCAGACAATCCAATGCCTGATGACCCAGTGCCCGCTGTCATGCCTGGTGACCCGATGCCCGCTGTCGAGCCAGACGATCCAATGCCTGATGACCCAGTGCCCGCGGTCATGCCTGGTGACCCCATGCCCGCTGTCGAGCCAGACGATCCAGCGCCAGATGACCCGGTGCCTGCTGTCGAGCCAGACGATCCGGTACCTGATGACCCGGTGCCCGCTGTCGTACCAATTGACTCAGAGCCCACTGTCGTGCCTGGTGACTCGGTGCCCACTGCCTTGCCAGATGACGCGGTGCCCGCTGTCGAGCCAAATGACCTGATGCCTGGTGACGCGGTGCCCGCTGTCCAGCCAGACGATCCAATGTCTGACCCAGTGCCCGCGGTCATGCCAGTTGACTTGGAGCCCACTGTCGTGCCTGGTGACTCGGTGCCCACTGGCGAGCCAAATGACCTGATGCCTGGTGACCCGATGCCCGTTGTCGTGCCTGATGACCCGGTGCCCGCCGCTCCGCCTGGGGGCCCGGTGTCTGCAGCCCCTCCTGGGGGCCCGGTGCGTGCCGCCCTGCCTGAGGGCCCGGCGCCCGCCGCTCCGCCTGGGTGGGGCCCGGCGCCCTGCCTGGGGGCCCGATGCCTGTCGCCCTGCCTGGGGGCCCGATGCCTGTCACCCCCACCTGGGGGCCCGATGCCTGTCGCCCCGCCTGGGGGCACGGTGCCCGTCTCCCCTCCTGGGGGCCCGATGCCTGTCGCTCCGCCTGGGGGCCCGGCGTCCGCTGCTCCCCCCTGGTGGCCCGGTGCCTGCTGCTCCGCCTGGTGATCCGGTGTCCAGCTCCATGTGCCTCTGCCCGGAGTCCTGCCCGGAGTCCTGCCCGATGTGCCGCTGCCCGGAGTCCTGCCCGATGTGCCGCTGCCCGGAGTCCTGCCCGATGTGCCACTGCCCGGAGTCCTGCCTGATATGCCGCTGCCCGGAGTCCTGCCCGATGTGCCGCTGCCTGGAGTCCTGCCTGATGTGCCGCTGCCCAGAGTCCTGCTCGATGTGCCGCTGCCCGGAGTCCTGCTCGATGTGCCGCTGCCCGGAGTCCTGCTCCATGTGCCTCTGCCCGGGAGTCCAGCTCGATGTGCCTCTGCCCGGTGTGCCGCTGCCTGGAGTCCAGCCCGGTGTGCCGCTGCCCGGAGTCCAGCCCGGTGTGCCGCTGCCCGGAGTCCAGCCCGATGTGCCAGTCTTTGATATCCCGCCAGTTACCAGACCCGGCGGTGGAACATTTTGCCCAGCTAGGACTGTTTGGAGCGTCCTGAGGCCGCTCCTTGAGGGGGGGTACTGTCAGGAATGGACTTGCCAGTAATGGTGGGACCCAACTGCCTTGTGGGCTGCAGTACCAGGGCTGGCCAGCGGGTGCTCCCGGCAATCAGAGACTCAACCCTGCAGCCAGCCAAACACCTGAAGTTGATCATGCAGGTGTATTTAAGGGATGGCCAGACCTGCAGTCTCTGCCTTGGTGTGTGTGTTTTTCCTGGGCCCTGTATCTTGTTCCTGCATTCCTGTTCCTGTTCCTGTCTCTGTCTCTGTCTGATTCGTTGCTGACCCTGCCTGATCCGGACCTCTGCTGACTTCTCCTGTTTTATCCCTGGCTTGTGACCCCGACCATTCTCTGCCTGACCCCCTGTACCTACCTGCCCGATTGTTATTGACCCGGCCTGCCTGACGACGCTTGCATTATATGTACTGTTATCTGTGGGTGGTTTGGTTCGTTTGCACTGTGTTATGTTTTAGTATTGCACTGCGTTTATGTTTGTATTGTTAGTTTTTAATAAATTATATTGTTTATAACTTATCTGAAGCCTGCGTTTCCCTACGTCAGTCACATACCTCTGGTCACACCCTCGAGCCCTGACAGGTAGTTACACCAACTATTGATTTTATTTACATTTTTCTTCTGTTCACTTACTTTCCATTTTGTAAATTGTTAAAAATAAACAATTAACTATATATATTTTTGAAAGCATTCTTTGCAGCATTTCTACACACCTGCCTAAAACTTTTGCAGATTACTGTACATTTGGATTTTCATATGTGACAGACAGCAAGAAGGGTGTTACAGGTTCATCAACTGGTGTGTTCCAGGTTCAGGCAAGAACACATCACTTATTATTTTTGTGGCAAGATCTACGTTCACCAAATATTCAACTACCTCTACGTTCACTGGCTAAATTCTGTAGAGTTTCATTTTAATTTTAGTCCAGCTTTAAAATATATTTTTATATACAGTATATATATATATATATATATATATATATATATATATATATATATATATATAATAAAAATTCAAGACACAAATGTACAAATATGTTAGAGTAACAAAGACATTTTACTTGCTGTAAATTGAACGTTCAAATCAGGGAGCACTAAAATGACATGAAAAAGTGTCTGAGCTGGTTATACAGTATTTATGTTTAAATAACTTATATTTTTTAATTTGAATTTCTATCTATTCCCCAGTGATATAAAGAAAACTATTTTCTAGTTTTGCATCATTTTCCACATATCAAATGTAATTTAGATGTGGACAGTTTACATTTCAATTCTCATTCAGACATATCTGTACTCCACCTTAATCAATTTTGTTTGTAAACTTTTGCCTTGAACCTGGAACACACCAGTTGATGAACTTGAAACACCTTTCTTGCTGTCTGTCAAATATGAAAATCCGAATTTACAGTACTCTGCAAAGGTTTTAGGTAAGTGTGAATAAATGCTGTAAAGTAAGAATGCTTTCAAAAATATATATTTTAATTGTTTATTTTTATAAATTTACAAAATGCTAAGTGAGTGAACAGAAGAAAAATATAAATCAAATCGATATTTGTTGTGTGTTTGGAAAGTGGTGGACCCCTTGGGTGTGGAGGTTGTTACCATACCTTGGTGTGATCCATTTTGGGTGTATCCTGTGCTATTGATCTCTTATTATTTGGAAATCATGGTTATCTGGTAAAGGAATTACATTTTTATGGTCAAGGTGGTCTGGGACTATCACACGTAGAACTCTGGTACTGAATTTTCACTGAAGATTCTATATTGGCCCCTTGGTGGACCCCTGAACACTTTCTTTGGGAGTAGACTCTTGTTTGCATTATTTTATTATTTTGATTTATATTGAGCATACGTTTATGTAATCTATGTTTAATTGTCATGTTACTGGTGATTTTACACAGTAGTGTAAAAAAAATAGTGCTAAGAAAATCTCTCACAGCCTCCAATCAAATTTAAATCTTTCTTCCTGAAGTTTGGGTGTGACTGATGATCCAAGAGTTAGGGCAAGAGGAAGCTACACAGCAAAGTCTCCAGGAAGTACACGCCTCTTACTTTCTTTCCCCCCATCCTTTATTTATTCTGTTGCAGGAAATCAAACAGAATTCATATTAAGTAGATTCAGTAAAGAAGAATTTCAGGTAAAGATATCTTATACATAATACTATTGGTCTATCTTGGACCAATGTAACTATTCATAATACCATACTTTGCCAGTGTCCCTAGAAGATGGAAATCACTGAAGTAGACACCAATGGTCTCCACTTGCTTCTGGGTTCTGTGCTCCCTTTCTAAATTGTGAACACAGGATGTCAGCCACTGAGTGTCAGTGTCTTTCTGTGAATAAGAACAAAGACAAATTCCCAGCTCAACTTACCTACAAGCCTGCAACCAACCGTATTGTCCTATCTAACAGTTCATGTAAAAAAAACAGGGGTTTAGTTTACACACATTTTCAAATGCATGCGTAAGCTGTAGAGCCTCTTCACGGCACCCCAGTATTAGCTGCAGTCCTTACTCTATACATTTTGAAAGCCTCCATAGTACAAGCAGATGCATAATAATGGATAGACTGAGAGCAGGTAATTCTTGAGGGAACTTAGCATTCCTTAAAGGTACAGGGGCACGCTGGACACCCAGCATATAGCGCAATGACATCTAAGGTGTCCAGTGCACCCCTCACCATTATACCAACAGTGTAAACAAATGGCAACTGCCCCAATCTATAACTGGCCTTTGCAGCAAGGAGCACATGGAAGGGCGATGCATGTCAAACAACAACAAAGAAAAATTCCTAGCTGAGCTTACCTACCAGCCTGCAACCAACTTAATTATCCTGTCTAACAGTTAATTTTAACCGTTTCAATACCGTGCAATTTTACACCTTCCTGCCCAGGCCATTTTTCAGGTTTCAGCGCTCTCACACTTTGAATGACAATTGCGCGGTCATACAACATTGTACCCAAACTAAAATTTTATAATTTTCTTCACACAACTAGAGCTTTCTTTTGGTGGTATTTAATCACCGCTGGGGTTTTTATTTTTTGCTAAATTAACAAAAAAAGACCAAAAAGTTTGAAAAAAAAACACATTTTTCTTTGTTTCTGTTATAAAAGTTTACAAATAAATAATTGTTCTTCATAAATTTAGGCCGAGATGTATTCTGCTACATGTCTTTGGTGAAAATAACTCAAATTAGGATGTATTTTTTAGTTTGTAGGAAAGTTATAGAGTTCACAAACTATGGTATAGATCTGAATATTGATCAATCCTGAAGTACTGACGGCCAATCTAATTTCTTGAGGTCCAAGAATGTCAGAACAGTACAGATATCCCCCAAATGACCCCTTTTTGCAGAGTAGACAGTCCGATGTACTTCATAAGAGGCATGGCGAGTTTTTTGAAGTTGTATTTTTTTGTCATAATTTTTCGGAAAATGAAAAAAATTAAAAAAATTATTTTCACTATTTTTTTTTTACATACTGTCACCAGTGCAGTACAGTGTCATCATATAACTGGCATGGCGGTGAACAGGGACACTGACTGGTGACAGTATGAAAAAAAAAAAAAAAATATATATATATTTTTAATTTTTTTAATTTTTTTATTATATTTAATTTTTTATTACATTTTTTTTTTTTTTTTTAAGATTTTTTTTTCATATTTTACTATGACCAAAGTAGTACAATGTTACCATAGTAACATTGTACTACTTTGGGGAAGTGATCAGTATTTTTTTTTTTTTTTACACAATTTGCTT